ATTGCTAGGACTGGGGATTGTATCAAGCTCTGCTTCTGATACCCTCAAAGGAGCGTTGATATCTAGCGTCTCCATAACCACCTCTCGTTCTTTTTCAACAAACGAGAGAGGTGCACAGTCATCTCGGCGTAATTGCGTGAATGCTTGTGCAAATACGCCGCTGGAGCCCAAGGAATTTTCGAAGACCTTAGACGTAAACCGGCACGTAGACCAGTCGGTGATCGCCTTGATCTTTTTCGGGATCAGGACATACACCGTTCTTACCAACGATGCACCCAAGAAGTGGGTATTTCGCTTGCTGCAAATATACACTTCTTGAGGTTAGCATACAATTGATGCTTTCGCATGATTGGAAGAACTTGTCGGACGTGGTACCTGTGAACCTCAACGTCCGACTTTCCATCCATGGCTCGACTATGGATGAATACGTCATCGAAATAACTCGGCGCGAATTCTCGTACTGGTCTCAACAGATGTGATACACATCTGTTGAACGTGGCAGGGGCATTACTGAGCCCCCTTGTGGCATTACTAGCCATTCCTAGAGCATGCCGCTAGACGTGCTCACTGCGGTATAGGGTATGTCCCGTTCTCGCATAAGGATTTGATAGAAGCCATCCGTCAAATCCATGGACGAAAAGATGGTACTCTTTGACATACCATCAATGATTACGTCCTTCCTCGGTATCGGCGTCTGAGCCGGTACCGTTGCAGCGTTCAATTTGTTGAACGCGTGCACTATCCGCCACCCCTCCTGTCGCTTTTCGCACACAGAAGGTCGGAGAGCTATGTGGGGAAGTTGATTCCCTCACATGGCCCGCAGCTAAACGATCGGCAAAGAACTTGTCGATCGCAAGTACCTTGTTCACGAGGCAGTGGCCACTGCTTCATGACACAGTACTTCGAGTCTGGTTTAAGCTCGACATCGTGTCGAATACCTTTATCCTTCGGTAGCTCGCACGGAACCGTTTCAGGGACTGCATCCTTGAATTCGACCAATTCTTCATAGAGAGGATTTGTCTTGAGCGATTCCCACGATTGGGAGTCGTATCGCTCAATTCATGTCTTTTCATCTAGGACACTCTCGTCCACTGATGAACTACTGAGAACTCTCTCGTTCTCAGTAAACACTGTTGCTGACCTTATGCCGGTTACATACTCGTCGTCAGCGACGAGTATGCAGATCTGCTTGACTTTGCCACTACGCAGATCACGCAAGAACCTTTTATGCTCGAGCGTTGGCAACTGAGTGATCTCCGAAGTTAACTTCGGAGGCGCAATCAGATCAAGTGTATAAGCGCCTACACTTTATTCGTTATTGACTATGACATTCAATGTCTCTGTCATTTCCTGGGGACTTATTCCCTCAGGCCTCGAAGGACTTATTCCTTCGTCTTCCCGGGGACTTATTCCCGCGGGTTTCGGGGAACTTTTTTCCGCCGTAATTGTAATCTTGGGACTTATTCCCTTTACTTCCTCTAGCTGGGGTTGCGCAAACACAGCGAGATCCTCTACGAAAGACTCTCCAGTCGATCTAGGATTATCGTTTCGCTTAACCTGAGCGATCGATTGTTTCTCTTCTCGATGTTCCACGCTAGGGATACATCTTTGTCCCAGTCCACCCGACTTATTCGAGTGGTGGACCCTCGGCGCAGCCTGTGTTTCCTCACTGCCGCCGGAACTTTGCTCCGAAGTGTAACCGTTTGGTACACTAAGGTTTTCTGCAGTCGTACTAACGACCGTACCACAAGTGAGGCCATCGCACTCACTCGTAGTACATCCACACGCTTGTGGACGCTCCAAAACGTTCATCAGATGGCCATCTGATGAACAAGCGGCAGGCATCGTTACTGTTCGATGTTGCCAGTTTACTCGTGGTTCGTACCTTCTGAGCCACGGTATTCCAAGGATGACATCAAATTTGTCATCCAATTCCAATACGATAAAGTCATCGTCATATTGGGTATCTTCTAGCGTTTAGTGGATCTTCACTATACGCTTCATGACGGTTACGGATGCGCCTGTCGCAAGACGTGCCGTCATCCTCGTAGGAGGTGTGTCACATTCACTGAATTTTAAGTGACCATATTCTAGCGATTGGCGTCGCACAAAATTGTTGGACGCCCCACAATCGACTAGAGCTCGAAGGGACAACTTATTCGTCACTTCGAGTTTCAAGGTAATGAGTGAGACCTCATTACCTAGAGCAGCAACGCACAACGTTTGTGTGTTGGGAGCAACCTTCATCAAGAGGCCTACAAATTCTCTTGACGTTGCTGGACCAGTAGGGTGCTCCGCACCTACTGATCCTGTCCGTTTTTTGACGGTCCATCCCGTTGTTGCGTCTTTGCACCAACAGCGGACCCGCGTCTCTGCCCCTTTCTCATGGGTGGACGGTCACTACGCCCAGTGTTGCGAGACAATGGACGAGGGGCACTACACTCGTAAGCGTAGTGTCCTGTCTTTTGACATCTGTTGCATTTCTGCAACTTCTTGTATTCTGTAGAGCGAGCCTTTTCGCTCTCTACACAACAGAGTTCCATCGGCTCTGGACCTCCGCTGTCATATCGTCTCGGTGGAAGATATGATGTCGAGCTGGCGCGAGCCTGTCTCAGACTGAAGTCTTCCTGCTCCGCAATGGAAATGGCTTGCTCTAGTGAATCTAGGTCAAGCCGGAACAGGTGAGTCTTGACGGGACCATCCGCAAGACCCTGCATGAACACCGAAACCAACGTGTGTTCATCCACCGGATTGGAACTTATACAACTCGTAAGATGTCGTATATGTTGCGCGTAAGCGTGCACATCACGCTTACCCTGCTTGAGCTTCAAGAGTTCGGTTCGAGCCCTGAACTCAGCTCTAGGCGGTTCAAACGTTTGTCTGAGCCGCGACTTGAAGACTTCCAACGACCCAAACGCATATGGGTCGTGCAACTTGAGCCCCAGTGCCCAAGTCTTGGCACGTCCTGCCAGATTTGACTGGGCGAATGCAACTTGCATATCCCTTCGTCGATTCGACGCGCCCTTATGGCGTCATCCAATTCGACGAACCATCTCAAGAGGGAGTCTTCTTCGACCCCCCTATACTTTGAGATGTCAATCTTCAAAGTCTCGGGTCGACGCGAGTGCATCGACCCGCCCGCAGCAGCCTGCTGCTGTCTCAACAGTTCAAACTGTTGAGCACCCTGTTCTCTCAACAACTCTGCTTGTTGAGAACCTTGTTGGTGAAGCAAGGCTACTTTCTCACGTTCTGCGTCAAGTTCATTTTGAATGAACTTGGCGATAGTAGCATGTTGGGCATCTCTATTGAGAGCCTCTAGCATGACGCTAACAGCATGGATGTCCATGGTTGAACCCATTCGTTCAACCGCATCCCATTCGACATCGCTCAAATGGGAGTAGCCGTCACGCGTAGCGTGAAAGCTTTGGTCATCTTCATCATCCAACATATTCATGTTGGATGTGCACGCGGTCCTTGGACGGACTACGAAGTGCTACCAGGTGTAACGGGGCACCCTGAAGCTTGTACTGGTGACAGTACAAGCTACTTATTCTGATGACAAAATAAGGCGGTGCCTCGTAACTTCACGTACACTCGTACGTGCAGAGGAAGACGGTAAGAAGAAGCGAGTACTTGGTTAAAGTAAAAAGTAGAACTGTATTTATAATAGTTAATGTCTTTTTAAAAAATCACAGTTTATCTTCATCTAACTATGTCTAAATACAAATGTGTATATCAACTGTCTGCTCACCACTCATTGCGTGCGTCTGTCGTGGCGCGTCTTCGTTGGTTGATATAATGGCCTATATCAACCAATTAGGAACTACTTGTAAGTGCTGCAGAATATTTGTCCTTATGACAATATTCTGAGAATATGACTCTTATAGTTATATTCTATTAACAATTTCTCACAAATTGTTATGTAACGATTCACCCGTTACATGCACTTCAGTTTGAAGTGTTTCCCGACCGCATGTTTCTAATCCTGAATGGCGGTTCTTCATTCTGTAGAGACAGAGCAGCTACAATTCTCGTCCACGGACGTACAAAGAGACTAGTGCGATGACACCTCATGACACCGAAATGTGTCGTTGGGAGTGAGGTCAGACGCAGGGACTACTATGACAGGCACGCCTGTCCATCTGGTAAATCGGATTACAAGATTGCTGCCATACTCGTTGGTACGTAGTATTCCTGCTTCTCCAGCACAATTGCGATCGCTGGTGACTATGCAACAGATCAAGCAGAGGTTGTCTGCAACAGTGATTGTTGTCGAGTGGACTGCTACTTTGTGTGGAAGATTCTAACCGACAGGGTGACATCTCTGGAGACAGGGCGTAGCTCAAAAATGCAAGCTGGGCGTCATTTTTGAAGGTGCAGCCTGTGCAGCAACTCGGCTCGTTGATCACAAGGTCGTCCTTGACTTTGGAAGCTCGCTGGACATTTGTTCCTCTTGATTAAAAAATGCAAGGCGCTTGCGTTTTTCCCATGCAGAATACTCGAGCATCGTGAAAATCAGGCTGTGTGGTGGCTTCGGCCTGCATAGCAACACCAAAGTCTACTTCATCCTTACCGGCTATACTGGAGGTTGCGTACGTCGGTAAGTGCGACGGGGCCACTCTCACCTATTTCGAGCAGCTTTGATGCACTCAGACCAGACACAATGAGCAACATGGAGCTTTGCGATGGATGCGCTGGAGGCGCCTTGACTGGCTGTCTAAGCTTGTTAAGACCTCCAACATTTCTTTGGCTGACTGTCAATACAAGTACGCGTAAGAGAGACGACCTCTCCCAACAACATCGGCAAATGAATGACTTTATTGCAAGTTACCTCCTATGCGATGTGGATGTTTTTGACAGCGTTGTCATTGTGGTGCATCATAATCAACAGCCAGCCCGCAAGCAGGACGTCAGTGCTGACGTTTCACTGACTCACGCCTGACTTTTTACCAATTCTTCTCCGGTGTGCTGCTCGTGCATCGTGAACACACACGCTGCGCTTCAGTTCCAACAGTCCACTCGATCAATCGGGAATGGATAGTGTACTGTCGTATGGCGATCGCCATGCAAACCAGTTTCGGGCACCTTTTGTAAATGCAGATTGATCCGAAAAGTCGAGTAAGGACACGAAAAGGTTGTCAGTGTTGAGGCTGTTTGAAGTGCATCAGTGAGTTGCATCCCGCTTTTTGTGTGGTCGTTCCTCTGCGAGTGCTTACGACACGATTAATAACAATCGACAAGTTTGCTTGAATGCCAAGCAAACTGAAGTGAGACGACATGGAAGTCGATTTTGATTCACTACGGCTTGCCAATTGATCCGAGCTGAACGTGAAACACATGACAGTGCAAAGCAAATTACACTCTCGATCGTTTGCTACATCGAGGGGTAGAAGAAGGCACGGCCATTGACCTGAGCCTCGTTGCAGTTTTACTGCCCCGGCCAAGACTAGGAAAAACGTGCACACTGCGTTCGAAGGCATATTGCACCTGATTACTCCGGACAACTTTCAATGCTTCAACTTGAAATAGCGGTACTGATGAATCGTGTAGCAACACCAGCGTTTTTTGTGGATAATCATCATGTCTGGATCGGCTTTATAGGAGGCAAGTGCAGATGCACCGTCGATCAAATGCATCCGTTACTGTCTCCTCGCATGGAGTTTATCGAAAAGTGGAAAGCTGCGATCTTCAATGACAAATGTCGGCTACGAACTTGTCGTTGCTGTTCTACATGAGACCCAGACACGACGGCGACGACATGCCCACAGAAGTGCCACAAGAAAAGATACTTTGCGACCCAGTAGATACACAAACGTCCGCGACTTTACTTGCCGGCATCGGTGAGCCACTCTACTCACTGTCAATGCCGCGAGTCGAATCAACCGCTCGACAGCATGACGTGTCCGAGAAAAGCACCAGCGCGTCAGCGCACTGGAGCTTGCAAACACCTTCCGTTCAGCTTGTGGTGGTATATGGATGTCTTTGACGATTACCAACAGAGAGATGTCAGCAGCATGCAATGACAGTTGTGCTGCCTTTCAATCGCATTAGCAAAGACATATGCGGTGGACGAGTAGGACTTTGAATCGGACTAGAGAGACGAAGGGCAGCATGCAGGTAGGCGCGTCTGGTGTCAAATGCATGCTAGAGCTGTAAGTTTAACTTCGATAATGACTGTGGTTGGCCGTCGTCGAGAACAACGTCAAGTTTGACATGCGCTATAAGGTCTCAATTGTGATTGCCTCCGCAGAAAGCAGATGCTGGTGCAGTAAACTGCGCTACCACAACGAGCGTGGTAAAAAGAGCCGACCGTCGTGAGCAAATGTCTTGACTGGCCAACGTTCCACATGGCATCGAAGTTATTGCAGAGAAGTCGTTTGTCAATACCATTTGCGTTATGCGAGCACTCGTTGCAAACGCGAGACAGCGAATGTCCGTAAAAACATGGAGCATGCCACCTGCTACCTCCACAGCGCCAATTACAAAGTCATAGTACAAACCGATGTAACGACCATTGACTGCTGTAGCAAATTGGATGACTTCATTATTATGCCAGCCGGTTATAGATAATAAAAACGTATCTGCTGTATGATCTCACGTGTCTCCTTCTGCAAAGAACCGAAATATTCTGGTGCGGTAAGGTCAGGTAACTTTTCTAGTAGTTGGGCTGCGCGCGTCTCCATTCCAGGGACGCTTCCGAACAATTGAAGATATGCAAATAGCTCCGCCAGCGATCTTCTCGCGTTGTCCAACGCACGGACGACGTCATCGTCACTAAACTCACCGTGATTTTCTCGGTATGCGTCCACATATCCAAGAAATTGTTTGAGTTTCTTGAAGAAGACTTCAGGATCTTCTATTTGCTTTGCGCGCCCTGCGCGATCAAATGTCGCAATCGAGCGATCCACCTTTGCAATGGGCATTTTCCTGAACACTTCTGCAGGACCTGCATTCGCTTCCACCAGCAACATGATCTTCATTAGCTTCTTGCGTCTGGCAGGCAATAACTTCTCCATCTCTGACGCCAGATCCTTCAACTCGTTATCGGCTCGAAGACCGTGAAGGAATGCATTCACTTTTTCTGCTCCACTGCAAAACTCCAATGTGTCGAGTACGATCTCTTCTGAACGAAGATGAGCATCATCTTTGCCAGTAGGACTGATAGAATGTTTACGGTTCCACTCTTTACAATATCCAATCCACAGCTTGAGCTCGAGATGGATGCCAGGCCACTTCGTGGACCCTCCAACACCATGCGCACGAATCTCCACTGCGCGAGTCAATAACCTTAAGACATCCCTAGGTTTCACATCTGCTTTCAGCCACCTAGGAAGCATCCGACTCAAGGTCGCAGGGTGTAAAGCAACCAGCTGTTTTTCCCAACCATAGATAATTGGTCTCGATTCGAGGAACTGCTCAAAAATTGCGGTCGTCTCATCCACCCCTCTTCTGTTCGAAAGCCAGGTCACAACGAATTTGCTGTCGAAGTATTTCTCCGGGTAGCTCTTGTTGAAATCCAAAACATATTTCAACCACGAAGAAAGTTCGACTTCGACGGAACTCCACGCTGCCTTTTTCTTTACTTCACCTGTCAGTCTCCCCATCGCTGTAATGGGCATTAATTCATAAATCTCGTCCGGTCCTATTTCCCATGTTGTAACGGGGTGAATCGTTACATAACAATTTATAAGAAATTGTTAATAGAATATAACTATAAGAGTTATATTCTCAGAATATTGTCATAAGGACAAATATTCTGTAGCACTTACAAGTAGTTCCTAATTGGTTGATATAGGCCATTATATCAACCAACGAAGACGCGCCACGACAGACGCACGCAATGAGTGGTGAGCAGATAACTGATTTACACATTTGTATTTAGACATAGTTAGATGAGGATGAATAGTGATTTATTGCAGACATTAACGATACTAAATACAGTTCTACTTTTTACTCTAACCAAGTACTCGCTTCTTCTTACCGTCTTCCTCTGCACGTACGAGTGTACGTGAAGTTACGAGGCACCGCCTTATTTTGTCATCAGAATAAGTAGCTTGTACTGTCACCAGTACAAGCTTCAGGGTGCCCCGTTACACCTGGTAGCACTTCGTAGTCCGTCCAAGGACCGCGTGCACATCCAACATGAATATGTTGGATGATGAAGATGACCAAAGCTTTCACGCTACGCGTGACGGCTACTCCCATTTGAGCGATGTCGAATGGGATGCGGTTGAACGAATGGGTTCAACCATGGACATCCATGCTGTTAGCGTCATGCTAGAGGCTCTCAATAGAGATGCCCAACATGCTACTATCGCCAAGTTCATTCAAAATGAACTTGACGCAGAACGTGAGAAAGTAGCCTTGCTTCACCAACAAGGTTCTCAACAAGCAGAGTTGTTGAGAGAACAGGGTGCTCAACAGTTTGAACTGTTGAGACAGCAGCAGGCTGCTGCGGGCGGGTCGATGCACTCGCGTCGACCCGAGACTTTGAAGATTGACATCTCAAAGTATAGGGGGGTCGAAGAAGACTCCCTCTTGAGATGGTTCGTCGAATTGGATGACGCCATAAGGGCGCGTCGAATCGACGAAGGGATATGCAAGTTGCATTCGCCCAGTCAAATCTGGCAGGACGTGCCAAGACTTGGGCACTGGGGCTCAAGTTGCACGACCCATATGCGTTTGGGTCGTTGGAAGTCTTCAAGTCGCGGCTCAGACAAACGTTTGAACCGCCTAGAGCTGAGTTCAGGGCTCGAACCGAACTCTTGAAGCTCAAGCAGGGTAAGCGTGATGTGCACGCTTACGCGCAACATATACGACATCTTACGAGTTGTATAAGTTCCAATCCGGTGGATGAACACACGTTGGTTTCGGTGTTCATGCAGGGTCTTGCGGATGGTCCCGTCAAGACTCACCTGTTCCGGCTTGACCTAGATTCACTAGAGCAAGCCATTTCCATTGCGGAGCAGGAAGACTTCAGTATGAGACAGGCTCGCGCCAGCTCGACATCATATCGTCAACCGAGACGATATGACAGCGGAGGTCCAGAGCCGATGGAACTCTGTTATGTAGAGAGCGAGAAGGTTCGCTCTACAGAATACAAGAAGTTGCAGAAATGCAACAGATGTCAAAAGACAGGACACTACGCTTACGAGTGTAGTGCCCCTCGTCCAGTGTCTCGCGACACTGGGCGTAGTGACCGTCCACCCATGAGAAAGGGGCAGGGACGAGGGTCCGCAGTTGGTGCAAAGACGCAACAACGGGATGGACCGTCAAAAAACGGACAGGATCAGTAGGTGCGGAGCACCCTACTGATCCAGCAACGTCAAGAGAATTTGTAGGCCTCTTGATGAAGGTTGCTCCCAACACACAGACGTTGTGCGTTGCTGCTCTAGGTAATGAGATCTCACTCATTACCTTGAAACTCGAAGTGACGAATAAGTTGTCCCTTCGAGCTCTAGTCGATTGTGGGGCGTCCAACAATTTTGTGCGACGCCAATCGCTAGAAGATGGTCACTTTAAATTCAGTGAATGTGACACACCTCCTACGAGGATGACGGTACGTCTTGCGACAGGCGCATCCGTAACCGTCATGAAGCGTATAGTGAAGATTCACTATACGCTAGAAGATACCCAATATGACGATGACTTTATCGTATTGGAATTGGATGACAAATTTGATGTCATCCTTGGAATACCGTGGCTCAGAAGGTACGAACCACGAGTAAACTGGCAACATCGAACAGTAACGATGCCTGCCGCTTGTTCATCAGATGGCCATCTGATGAACGTTTTGGAGCGTCCACAAGCGTGTGGATGTACTACGAGTGAGTGCGATGGCCTCACTTGTGGTACGGTCGTTAGTACGACTGCAGAAAACCTTAGTGTACCAAACGGTTACACTTCGGAGCAAAGTTCCGGCGGCAGTGAGGAAACACAGGCTGCGCCGAAGGTCCACCACTCGAATAAGTCGGGTGGACTGGGACAAAGATGTATCCCTAGAGGGGAACATCTAGAAGAGAAACAATCGATCGCTCAGGTTAAGCGAAACGATAATCCTAGATCGACTGGAGAGTCTTTCGTAGAGGATCTCGCTGTGGTTGCGCAACCCCAGCTAGAGGAAATAAAGGGAATAAGTCCCAAGATTACAAATACGGCGGAAATAAGTTCCCCGAAACCCGCGGGAATAAGTCCCCGGGAAGACGAAGGAATAAGTCCTTCGAAGCCTGAGGGAATAAGTCCCCAGGAAATGACAGAGACATTGAATGTCATAGTCAATAACGGATCATGTGTAGGCGCTTATACACTTGATCTGATTGCGCCTCCGAAGTTAACTTCGGAGATCACTCAGTTGCCAACGCTCGAACATAAAAGGTTCTTGCGTGATCTGCGTAGTGGCAAAGTCAAGCAGATCTGCATACTCGTCGCTGACGACGAGTGTGTAACCGACATAAGGTCAGCAACAGTGTTTACTGAGAACGAGAGAGTTCTCAGTAGTTCATCTATGGACGAGAGTGTCCTAGATGAAAAGACACGAATTGAGCGATACGACTCCCAATCGTGGGAATCGCTCAAGACAAATCCTCTCTATAAAGAATTGGTCGAATTCAAGGATGTATTCCCTGAAACAGTTCCGTGCGAATTACCGAAGGATAAAGGTATTCGACACGATGTCGAGCTTAAACCAGGCTCGAAGTACTGTGTCATGAAGCAGTGGCCACTGCCTCGTGAACAAGTACTTGCGATCGACAAGTTCTTTGCCGATCGTTTAGCAGCGGGCCATGTGAGGGAATCAACTTCCCCACATAGCTCTCCGACCTTCTGTGTGCGAAAAGCAACAGGAGGGTGGCGGATAGTGCACGCGTTTAACAAATTGAACGCTGCAACGGTACCGGCTCAGACGCCGATACCGAGGAAGGACGTAATCATTGATGGTATGTCAAAGAGTACCATCTTTTCGTCCATGGATTTGATGGATGGCTTCTATCAAATCCTAATGCGGGAACGGGATATACCCTATACCGCAGTTAGCACGCCTAGTGGCATGCTCTGGGAATGGCTACTAATGCCACAAGGGCTTAGTAATGCCCCTGCCACGTTCAACAGATGTGTATCACATCTGTTGAGACCAGTACGAGAGTTCGCGCCGAGTTATTTCGATGACGTATTCATCCATAGTCGAGCTATGGATGGAAAGTCGGACGTTGAGGTTCACAGGTACCACGTCCGACAAGTTCTTACAATCATGCGAAAGCATCAATTGTATGCAAACCTCAAGAAGTGTATATTTGCAGCAAGCGAAATACCACTTCTTGGGTGCATCGTTGGTAAGAACGGTGTACGTCCTGATCCCGAAAAGATCAAGGCGATCACCGACTGGCCTGTGCCGATCGATGTCAAAGGTCTTCGAAAATTCCTTGGGCTAGCGGCGTATTTGCATAAGTATTCACGCAATTACGCCGAGATGACTGTACACCTCTCTCGTTTGTTGAAAAAGAACGAGAGGTGGTTATGGAACGCTGAATGTCAACGCTCCTTTGAGGGTATCAAGCAGAGCTTGATACAATCCCCAGTCCTAGCAATAGCCGATCAGGACAGGCCATTTCATGTGGTCTGTGATGCCAGCGATTTCGCAATCGGCTGTGCACTAATGCAGTACGATCTTGAAGGCGTTGAACGCGTCGTCTGCTATCAGTCGCGTCAGCTGCAACCAGCTGAGCGGAACTATCCAGTGCATGACAAGGAACTCCTTGCCATGAAGTATGCACTCGCGAAGTTCAGAGTCTATCTCTTAGGAGATAGACCCTTCGTTGTTTACACTGACCATGCGTCCTTACGCACGGCAGTGAACAGCCCGCACCTTTCACAACGAATGGCGCGGTGGTTGTCATTCTTTGCAGAATACAACTTTACGGTCGAGTACAAACCAGGACGACTTAATGTCGTCGCTGATGCACTCTCACGTCGTCCCGACTTTGAAACAGTCGCGAAACCCAACAGTGAGACAGTCACTGTTGCGGTTATGACGTCCTCAGTTCCATCTACAATGTTGTATGATGATGTGAGGCGGGCATACGCCCAAGATGGTGAGATAGTGAAGTTGTTGTCACATCTCTCCCAACCATCCCGAGAATCGTTGAAACGATTGTCGCCTGCGTATCGATCTGCATCAGATCGATACACTACTCGTAACGGTTTACTGTATTATACAGCCGTTTCTGGTGACACACCACGTGTTGTCATTCCAGATGATACTGGTCTGCGTTTGCGGATCATGTTCGAGTATCACGATGCTCCTATAGGAGGACATCGTGGCCGAGAGAAAACATATCTCACGGTAAGTCGAGACTTTTACTGGCCCCGCCAGTATCAGTTTGTGCGAAAGTATGTTCGCGCATGCGAAGTCTGCCAACGAGTGAAGTCAAGTCCTTCACTGCGTGCACCTTTACAGCCTCTACCGGTTCCGGCTGAGTGCTGGGAATCCATCTCAATGGATTTCGTCTTCGGGTTACCCAAAGACGCACGCGGGAATACGGGTATTCTCGTATTTGTTAACAGATTCAGCAAAATGGTACACCTTGTGGCTGTACCCGAGTCAATCACGGCAAGTGGCTGTGCTTGTTTCTTTATTGACACCATCTTCCGACTTCATGGGTTGCCCCGTGAACTCGTATCAGACAGAGATCCACGATTCACTGCTGATTTCTGGCGTTCCGTGTTCAAATCACTCGGAACGCGCTTGAAGATGTCAACATCTGATCATCCAGAGTCAGATGGTCAGACGGAACGTGCCAATCGTGTCCTTGAAGAGATACTTCGAGGATACGTACACTCCTTTAAGAGTTGGAGTGAGTTTTTGCCAATGGTAGAGTTTGCCATCAACAACTCGGTGCATGCGTCCACGACACATACACCGTTTTACGTGAATGGCTTGCGCCATCCGCGTGTACCCACCTTACTCAAGTGTAACTCTGGTTTAAGGGGGGGAGAGACTCGCGCGAGCAAAAACCGATTTGGTTCACGCTCATCACGCTCTGACGAAGAAGTCATTGCGTTTGATGCCGATATCGATAACATCGATATCGAAGACAATGATCCCAGTGAGAGTGCGGAAGCCCTCACTGAAGAAAAGGTTGTTGTTGCTGCAGTGCGCTCACAGCACACTGAAGCTAACGAGTCATCAGATGAGTTCATACTGGCTCGTGAAACGGTAGTCCGTTTTGTGCAAGACTCCATCGCCGAAGCGGTGGATAAGCAAAAGCACAACGCTGACAAGAATGGAAGGGCAAACACTCTTTTATTTAATAAAGGTGACTTAGTCCTACTGTCTACGGTTAATCTACCAAAGCATGTAGTGACTAACTTGGGTAGCAGTAAACTACTACGCAAGTACATCGGCCCATTTCGTGTATTGCACCGCCTAGGCAATGCATACACGATCGAGTTACCACGTAAGATGCGAACGCATCCCACGTTTTACGTTGGTCGGCTTAAGCCGTACCATCAGTACGCTGCTTCTTCCGATGAAGAACGCCCTTGCGCTCAAGCATCTCGCAGAGAGCCTTGTGCTCCCGATGGTGGGCATCAACAAGGGTCTGAAGAGCAGCTATCTGATCCCGAGACCGATCAACAATCCCACGAGCTACCCTTAGCTCGTCACGAAGAGATGTCAGAGCTCTCTCGTTCTCAAGCTGAGCAAAGGCAAACTCAGCTCGATGCTTCGAGGCAGTGTCCACCATCTGGAGACGCCTATTCCGCTCATGCTCGAGATCGTCGCGTAACCCTTGCGTTACGCGATCAAAGAAGCTCTCGGGAACACACCGATCCACATGATCGTGTGGAGAGCGTCTTTCCTCCTCCTCCACCTCCATTAGAGGACTCTCGCGGTGGCCAGCGCTATCTAGTTGAGCAGCTGTTGAACCACCGCGACGTGAACGGACGTCGGACGAGTTACCTCGTCCGGTGGCGCGGCTATCCCCCGTCCTGGGATTCTTGGGAGCCCCGCTCCCAATTGATGGTTGACGTACTGGGTCTGGTCGAGCAGTACGACGCGGCACATCCTGTGCCGCAGAAGGACCGCCGGAGAAAGTCTTCCCGGCACGGTCGTAAAGGGATTTCAGGTTGTCAATCCCTTCGTACATCTCAGTAGAGACACGTACGCGCCACCACGGGCTGGTAAGGGAGGTAAGCCTCCTTAGGTGCTCGTGCAGAGTTGTTCACACAACATGGGCACGAGTCTCCCCAAGAGAGGCAGGGTAATCCTTTCTCCCTTGACAGACGATGCAGCTTGTAGCGTGCACCTGTCGGGGTTCGCTTTTCAAACTTATCACGAGCTTTGATAAGTTTGTCGTTCCAAGCGTCACGACCTACATCCTCGAGGTTATGGATGTAGGCGTTCCACGCCTGAAGTAGTGAGGGACCATCACGTTTGTGATTCCCACTGTACCATCGATGTCTGAAGAAAGCATCGATGAAGAATTCGTGTTCAGCGCGATAGTCTTTCGCGCTGGGGTCAAGGTGATGGATCCTTGACGAATCGAACAATCGTGTTCGATAACGATCACTCGTCGTCGCCGACAAGTGATCCATGACAGATTTTGGAGGCATCCATGCTCCTTCTTCTCAGGAGCGAGACGCAACACATTGCGGTCCCGCTCTTCCTGCGACGTGCCGACAGAAGTACTGGCACCTCGCTGTGAAGTGGTGTCTATAGGAGAACCGACACCACTATTAATGCCCGAGTCTCGCGACCTCGAGCGCCTTCGCTTCGGCGATGGTTCATCTGATTCATCAGATGAACCAAAGATGCTGCGACGCAAAGCATCGTCCATGCCACGCTTGGCAGGCGGCTTGGATTCGATCGCCGTTGATACGGATCCGTCATCCGTATCAGGAGAGTACGAGACACCGAGCTCGTAATCTGTGAAGACACGAGTGTCTTCATGACCAGCGCCTGCGTCACCAAGTGACACAGGCTGGGTCTCTTCAGCAACCGATGGGACATCAGTTGCTGTTGTTTCTGCTTCGGCGTCCGCACAGAGACGTGCAGACGCGCTCTCGGCGGCCTTGCTCGCGCATCGCATGGGCTTGTTTACCATGCGATGAAATGTTGGAAAGTGGACGCGGACCAACAAGTGCAAACCCTGTCCCAAATGATTTGGGACGAGTATCCGTTTAGTCAATCAGTCACTAAAGTGACTGATGGTTAAGGGGGGGGGTGATGTAACGGGGTGAATCGTTACATAACAATTTATAAGAAATTGTTAATAGAATATAACTATAAGAGTTATATTCTCAGAATATTGTCATAAGGACAAATATTCTGTAGCACTTACAAGTAGTTCCTAATTGGTTGATATAGGCCATTATATCAACCAACGAAGACGAGCCACGACAGACGCACGCAATGAGTGGTGAGCAGATAACTGATTTACACATTTGTATTTAGACATAGTTAGATGAAGATAAATAGTGATTTATTGCAGACATTAACTATTATCAATACAGTTCTACTTTTTACTCTAACCAAGTACTCGCTTCTTCTTACCGTCTTCCTCTGCACGTACGAGTGTACGTGAAGTTACGAGGCACCGCCTTATTCTGTTATCAGAATAAGTAGCTTGTACTGTCACCAGTACAAGCTTCAGGGTGCCCCGTTACACATGTCAAACACAATTGCTTGATCTTTTTGGCGTCTTCCGAGTTTTTCATAGTTATCACTTCCAGCAAGCTGCTGGCGCGCTCCTTCGAAGGAGGAAAGCTATCAAGCCAATGGAGAAATCTTATCACCCTCTTGACTTTAAATTTCTTCACCATATGCACAAGTATCTCAACGTCTTCGAACGCGCGAGTTTGAATGTTAAACAACTCCACATACGCAGACCACTCGTAGAGCTTCTGAAATATGGTGAGATCCTGATTCGACCCCGAGGGACATCAACATGCTCCAGAAAGTTCGTATATGCTTTTTTCTGCAAGGCTATCAGTTCCCCCTGTAATCCTTGATGAATTGCAGCGCTCCCGTGTGACACTACATCGTTCAACCCTCTCTCCTCGTCGCGGCGGTGAACAAAGTCGCTCGCTGCCACTGTAGAGTCCTGCGAGTGCAAGTGTCCTGGCCCGTCGAACGCAGTAAGTTCCAGAGGAGAATGCAGAGTGGAAATGTTAACTGCCTCATTGTTCGTCCCACTGTCGACAGTGGTTCTAGAATCGGCACTTGTTAGAACCAAGAAGACGGAGGCCGTGACCACGTGACAAGTGGGACGCATCATTCTTCTTCCTAACTGCGAGGGGTTTTGAGAAATGAGAGAAGCCAGTTCTCCTGGTCGGAATGTGTGGACCACGTAGATGTCGATCGACCGACCGACCGACCAGTTCCTGTCACTACTGCAGGGGTTGGTCATAATGCTGACATAGTGTCGGTCACAGGGAGCCACAAGCCAGCCAGACTGTCGACCAGCCTGCTGCTCCGTCATTGGCTATAAATGCGTCTTCTTCACATGATCAATGGTAACGGCTGGGTTCAATTTTGATTCGGCTATGACATTCAATTTCGTCATCTGAAAGAGCTCAGAAAGACGTCCAATTTCGTCAGGAGTAGATCGTAAGTACTCAATTCACTAATATTGTTTACCCACTTACTTGCCCGTTCAAAGCCCAAACAGACGGTTTCAGTGCAATTCGCGGCTTCAGGTCCAACTACATTCCTTCCTTCCTGCCCGAACTCCAATCTTATTAGCAACAACAACAACACAGGTGCATTTTTTAGGGGACTGCTGATACAACCCACTTTGTACGAGATACACCCCGTACACCACACCCGTGCTACGCCACACTATGGTTTGTACGACGAACATCGCGCTAATTCACCTGTATACGACCACTATAGCACAACAATCTACAAAAGTCGTATGTATAGTAAGTGATTTTACCAGTCTATCTCGCATCTGCGAAATGACCATTGCGTCGTTCAAAAACTAGCATCGCAGACGCAAATAGCCCTCAGTCTCGTCACCCGCTGTGTTAGCAGAATGTACGTCAATAAGAGTAAGCCCAAGTGAACAATATCGCGATGAAAAACAAACTATAGCGAGTTTGTAGCATCTTGCAGAGTGAACATTGTGACGCCAGCTGGTCGCATGTTATGCTAGGAATCCAAATATTGGCTACGTTACTCGTGTGAACTGAAAAGGACAAAGATCAAATACAATATACGTGGTGATACAACTAATAAAAAGAGACCTATCACACCACCTCGAACGATGGAGATCGGATACTCATAGTGCAGCTAGACAATCATTTTATTATTTGGCCGACAATGATCTTGTCTCAACGCAGATTCAGGATAGACTCGATCGAAAAAAAATAGCTGTATATAGAATTTGTCGTTCTTAGCGGTAACTTTCTATGCAATGTTCGAATGCGATTACGTTTGGTGTAAGTGAACTATTGTTTCATCCATTTTTTGTGTCTTTCTCGACTGAAACGTTGCTATTGTCATTTCTTCGAGAAACAACTAGCCTTTTAGATGTATCTGACATGTTATGACGAGTGATTCGTTCTCTATCATCAATGTGTTTTCGAAAGCAAAGAGCTCCAATCGTCTATTGTGTGCGAAAACAAGTTTGCTTAAAAGATCACTCAACATTTGTACGATTGATGCAGATTGTGATGTGCGATAGTGGACGTACAGAGGTAATTGGCGCAAAGTTGATTGTACAAATCGTGTTGTGATGTGGCATTGGTGTAAGATTTGGGGTGTATTATGTAAAGAGTGAGGTGTGTTCAACAATAGCCTTTTCAGTGCGCGCAACAATATTCATTTTGGGAATGCGCAAGTGCGGCCTTGTCACTGCTGCCGTCTGCGATGCACATGGACCTGCCACATACTCATCGCTGTGCGTATATGAAGATTCCACTAACACTTTCGTCTCGCGTAGAAAGACATTCTTTATGAACTTAGTTATGCCCATTATGCCCGCATTGCCAATTGATAGACGTGCTAATTTGTACTTTTAGAAGGGCATCTATCCAATTATCATGAAGACGGTGATTCCTTTATTAAGGAGAGATGACGTGTAGTTAATGGAAGGTGACCTTGATCTTACACCGTATACATCCTCCAGATGAGCTATTTAAGATCAAAGCCGATTGCATTGAGGTCGTGAAATCTGCACCAAAGATGTTCTTCAAGCAAGTACAGCCGAAGAAATGAAATACTAGATCAAGACGGTGCATGCGCACATTTTGCTTCATTTTACAGGATTTGCACTCGTACGACTCGAAAGAGGAGACAGGGATGGTGGGGTTGAAGAATCAGGGAGCCACGTGCTACTTGAACTCGTTGCTGCAGACGCTGTTCCACTTGCGAGCATTTCGACAAATGGTGTATGAAACGTCCACGGCTCAGGAAGATACCAATAATTCTGTGTCATTGGCACTGCAGCGTGTATTTCACCGGTTACAGAGTCAACAAAAGGTAGTGTCGACGAAGGAACTGACGCGCTCGTTTGGATGGAGTGCAATCGACTCGTTCATGCAGCATGACGTGCAGGAGCTGTACCGGATTTTGTGCGATCGGTTAGAGGAGAAGATGAAGCATACAAAAGTGGACTCGGCGATATCGAAGCTTTTTGAAGGCACAGTACGGTCTTTTGTGCAGTGTGTAAATGTTGACTTTCAGTCGTTTCGTGACGAAAGTTTCTACGACTTGCAGCTGGACGTGAAAGGCTGTAAAGACTTGATGCAGTCTTTTCGTAAGTATGTGGAAGTGGAAATACTGGATGGTGACGATCAGTACGACGCTGAAGGACATGGGAAACAGGATGCCAAGAAGGGTATTGAGTTTGCCTCGTTTCCACCTGTCCTTAATATCCAGCTTAAGCGCTTTGAGTACGATGCCATGCGTGATGGCATGGTCAAGGTTCACGATCGCTTCGAGTTTCCAAAAGTTCTTATTCTCGATGAATTTATCGCTCACAGTAGCGCAACAAAAGACACCAACGAGAAATCTCCACGGTATGTTTATCATCTCCATAGTGTTCTGGTTCACAGTGGTGATGTGCACGGCGGTCATTACTACGTATTTATTCGACCTGGAAAGCATACTAGTTCAAGTACGAGTTGGTTCAAGTTTGACGATGACCAGATCACGCGCGTGGATGAACGTATAGCAATCGAGGGAAATTTTGGTTCTGGTGGGACTCCTGTAACACCACAAGGAGGATCTACGGAATCGCCGTCGCCTTTGCACTCGTCATCAATTTTTGGTCCGTCTGATATAAACGCTGAAAATGCTAATGAGCCTGGTGGCATGGATGGCTTAGAATTTACGTCGGTGGCTGCACCGGGCGAGCCCGGTACTGGTGGCGGCAGCGCAGCGGATGAAGGATATGAGTACAGTCAATATAACGACACGAGCAGTATCCCGTTACGTCCTTCGTCAAGCACTCAGATGCTTCCACTTGGTAGGAGTTTTTCTAGCGCATACATGCTTGTGTACGTGCGCAACGGTGAGAACGACATCAGCGCCATTCAGGAAGGGGCTTTTGTGGATACAGAGAGTATCACAACGACACCTTGTGCTTCAAAAAAAATATCCGCGGCTGATCATTTACTCAACAGCATTAAAACGGAAGTACCACCTATCAAACCAGAGATTCGTACTTGGGAAAGCGATCCGGTGTCGATTCCGACCGAGCTGGTTACACGGTTCCACGAGGAGGAAAAAGCAGTTAGCCGGCGCAAGAAAGCTCAGCAGACAGAGCACTTGTACATAAACCTACGTATTGCTTCCGACACGAGCATCGCCAAACTGAGACGTATAACAAAGACGATGGACTTTTCTGGATTTAATAACTCGAACACGTTGCGTATCCGCATTAAACGCACCGCATCGATCCGGCAGCTCTACCGTCGAGTGTATAAAGAGACCGGCGTTCCCATGTTACGACAGCGCTTGTGGAAAGTCATTACGCGCGAAAATCGTACAACACGACCTGATCAACCTCTCGGTCCCGATTTGTTTGGCTGTCGTGTGGACTGGCTGATCGAGGATGATGCATCGCATAAAGCCCCTGTTAGA